TATTTTCCCATTACTGAGTTATTTTATTTCCCTTAGCATTGTTTTGCTGCATTTAGTATTTGGTCTTATAGTTTGCTCAGTTGCCAAATATTTCATAATTTCAAAGGAGTAAATAGCAATTCCCATTTCCCATGTATCCATTGCTAATACGCATTTTTCATTGCTAAAAACACTTCAGTTTCATATATTGAACTTATATTCTGTTATGTGACTAAATTTGCCTATACTGTAAGTCTGAGTACCTTGTATGTATTTCTCTTAACTTTTTGTACTGGTGGAAATTTCAGGATAATGTTAAGTAGAGATGGCTCAAGGAAGTAGGCCTGGCTTGTCCCTAGTCATAGGAGTGAAGCACCCCACATTTCATAGTTAAATATGATGTTCATGCTCGTTTTTTCATAGATTGTTTGATCAGCTTAAGGGAGAATCACAGTGTGCTGAGAGTTTTTAATTAGGAACATTAAAAATTTGCCATATGCTTTTTTTGGCAATTAAAATGTTTATTCAAAAATTATTAGTTAATATGATGAATTACATTAAATTAATTAAATCAACCTGACATTCCTGGGATAAGCCCTCTACAGGAAAGTTATGTGTAAAAGTATACTTTTAGTTTTAGAATTTTATTAAGTTTCCAGGAAAGTTGTAAAGATAGTACAAAGCATTCCCATATATCCTATTTTCCCTACTGTTAATGTTTAATCATATGGTATGGTACGATACAATTAATGAACTTATAGTCATTCATTTATTATTGTTACCATTTATTTTTTGCAGCCTGCTTAGCCTGCCCTGGAGGCAGGGCTGCCACAGCATGTGGTGCCAGGGATCAAACCACAGTCCTGTATTTGCCCAAGCTTGCTTAAGTAGGCACTTCAGACTACTGAGCCACCATGCTGGCCCTATTATTACTATTATTTGTAATGCTGGGGATGGAAACCAGGGACGTGTGACGTGTGTGTGTGTGTGTGTGTGTGTGTTTATTGAGGCTATCTGTTTCTACTTGACTGAGCTTTGGGAGTTGGTGTCTGTCGAGGAATTTGTCCATTTCACCTAGGTAGTCTAACTTATAGGCATAAAGTTATCACCCTTTTAAAGGTTGGTGCACTCTGCAGAGATGCCGTGTCTCATCCATTTCTAAAATTGGTAATTCGTCATTTCTTTTTTTCCTCCCACTGTTTGGCTGTGAGTATTTCAATTTCAGTGATCTCAAAGAACCAACTTTCTAGTTTATCGATTTTTCTTTCCTCTTCACT